GAATTGCATCATAGCTGTATAACTATGAATTAGATTTGGATTTTACAAATGTGTATCATATTTCGATTAACAACGAATGAAGATAGTAGAGGGTATAACGTGGAGTAACTGAAGTATACAGTTCCGATATATTCCGTCTCGGTTTGTTCTCGTCTAACCCTAACTTTTTTCTGCAGACAACTTACCCCTCCCTCTTTTTCTTCCTCTCCTTCTTCCTGTCCTTTTTAAAAAGGTCAATGTATAACTAGTTTATCTGTGATATATGATATGCAACAAAAACCAAACAGATATGACCACATCACTATAAGACAATAACGGAAGCAGGACGGATTTACAACCAAGGTTAACTCCGTAGTACTGCAGTCTCCCGGCTGGATGTGGAATAGGAATTTGTTCCTTGGAGAGTGCACCATCCTCGCGGACTACAAGTGCCTTCATCTGGGTGTCTGATGCCATTTTGATAGGATTTGGTCGGGAAAGGAAAAGGAGAAACAAGACATGTTAATTTATGAGAAGTTGAGGTATTGTGACGTTTATAGTTGTAAAAAATAAAAAGTACAGACTTCAATTGAATACAGTATGGTATGGTATGTTACATTCGATATATTACACATACCTCCAAACTTTCCTAAAGGTTTAAACTGTAGTCTAGAAAGAATTTTAGTATATATTTAATCTGAATCTAAGCTTCAAGATTGGTTATCAATACTATTACTTTTTAATTATTTTTGTCAATAATGATAATTGCAGATTTTTTTTTTTTTTTTTTTTTTTTAACATCAAGAAAACTTCCGCACATACAGTTTACCAGCAGGAATCGATCAATCTCTTTTTTAAGCCTTCAGCCCTAACTTCTGACACAATGTGATAGTGAAGAAATTCAACCGAGCGGGTAAACGGCGGGAGTAACTATGACTCTACAATCTAAGAACAACTATATACATAGTGAGTATAAAAAGAACTGAGGGCCGTCGGTGAAATACAAAGCGGTGAACAAGCCTAGCCCTGGGAGAATAGATACAAGTATCTGGCCCAGAACAACAATGTTCTTTTTACTTTCTTCTCCCGTCAGGCTCAATACTCTGTAGTCTCTTGCGCTTTTCTTCAACATGTCACGTCCGCCTATGATGGGATTTCCCTCGGTATTTCGTTGCTTCATGCCAGATTTTACTTGGCCAAACCACGTCTCACATACAGTGACTGGCCAAATACCCGAAACACCTCGCGCGGCGCACCCTCAGGTATGTCGATTATGGGGCATTTTCCACAAATTTCTGAGGCTATTCTCTCAATACTATTGCAGCTGGTCTGGAGTTCCCTACGATAATCAGATTGCTCAGCTTCCATTCGGTCTGATCCTGAAGTGGTCTGATGGCACCCGGTTGGAAGAAGTCTTGTCTTGACTATGGAGGTCGCCAGAAGGGCAGGCCTCCCAGTTCCCAGGGTGATCTGCTACGGGGAGCATCCAGATAGTCCGCATGCTCCAGTGTCGATTCTGATGACTCGGGTTCCTGGCGATGAACTAGGCAGAGTTTATCAAACACTGAGCGACACTGAACGCGATTCGTGGTCGGTCTTGGGGGTGGTCTATACATGGTGGAACTGGATTGTGAACGCGCGTTGACTTCTTTAACAAGCTCTTCATATTACTGGTGATATAGAATTGAAAAGTAAATAGTTATATACAGCTAGTGACAGTGTACAATAGTATTGAACTATAATAAAGAATAAACACCTTTGTATCTTTATAATCCTATATTGCAAATAGTATATGTCAATTATTAACTGTCCATCATCAGTTGTGACGATTTACAACCATTTACTACAAAATCTACCTTAAACTCTACTATTAACCCTCTCTCTCTCTCTTACTAGTTCAAGTTAGTAGAGACAAAGCTTTGCATATTCCAGTATGGTTTGGTCAACACCATGTGCAATGATTCACTAAATTCTGAATACTATACACCAGCCCAGAAAGCATACAACAGGGTAATAGCTTAAATTCCCTCAAATAGTAATCACTATACCATCCATCTCAGAACACACATTCCATACAACAAGCCAAACAGTTCCAACTTGTTGAAAAGAAAATAACTGAGTATCTGTTCAACAATACATACATCAATTCATACAATTACATTATCCTTCATCCGATCGTCAAAAGCCCAAATAGCAGCTGTGTTCGCTTCCAATACTCCACGGCCCTCTCCGTCGTCTTGGTGGCTTGATCGTTGGATGTCATATTGTTGCGGAGTTTTTCGACCGCGTCTGCTAACGGGTTGTGTGGGGAGGGTTTCGTTGAGAGTGCGCTTTGCAGGTAGATTGTGTCGAAATATAATTGGATTTTGCGGTCGAGGGGGTCTTGTGTTTCGTTTGGTGGTTGATTTTCTGGTTCGGGGTTTGTGGGGTCTTCTTTTGTGTTTGTTTGTTCTGCTGTATCTTTTGGATCTGTTGAGTCCGTTGTATCCTTTGAGTTCGTTGATTCCAGGGATTCTAGGGCTGCCATGACGCTTCCGGAGAGCTCTTTTTGCACGTGTTCCTTGAGAACTTTGACTGTGCATGCATCCCAAAGGCCTGGCCCACATCCATCCATGGAGCCTAGAAGTCGGCGCAAGAACTTGAATGCATATGGAGAGGGTTGAATCGGAAGTGCAGGATCGCCTTCCCATAAACTTCTGCCCGGAACTCGGGTGTCTAGTTTCGTGGGGAAATGTAATGATGGAGTGTTCGAGACCAATTCAGTGGCAAGCATTTCCTGTAACCAGGGGACAATAAGCTCGGAGAATGTGAAGTCTTCAGTCACCAAGTCGGCAGGGAGGTCGCGCCGAACGAGTCTGATGATCCTAAGCATGAACGCGGCCTTTCCTGTCCGATTTGATTTTCCGAGCGCCTCGAATGTATCATGGAATGATGACTGGAGGGAGAGGTAGGCGTCTTTGACGGCTTTTCGAAGCGCTTCTCGTAGAAATTGGGGATCATCTTCACTTAGTGTCGAAGTGATGTCCGTATTCAGATCCTCGTCTTCACCGTCCTCTAGGACATCCACCCATCGGACCTGTCGTAACTCGTCAATCGACTGGTGCGACTTTTCAATGGACGTGCGCCAGGTGTGGTATCTCATTAGCATGGTAGAGACTTCTTCATCCCGACCAAGTAGCCTATCTGCGATGGCTCTTTTGAAAGCGTCGGCACCGTTGGAATAATCCAGTGCCATTAAGTCCTGATCCCAGAGCGATGGGGAATCCGCGTGCTCTGTGTCGTCCCATACTGATAAAGTATGCGCGACGTCTTGACCACAGCTCCCGAGGGATTTAGCCTGGTCTGATAGAAGTACTGTAAGCCGACCGTTGAACATGTTTCGAATGCCCTCTAGCACTTGAAGAGAAGAATGCGTGATGGTCGAGGCCGATTCCTTGAGCCAAACTTCCAAGGTCCGTTCACGCAGAGACAGCAAGTTTTGGAAGTCCTGCCAGTTTGCCAAGCTCTTCTGGCCTTCCTGGGAAAACTTCTCAAAGGCTTGCTTTGACCACTTCTTGAGCGTTGTCTCGGTATCCGATTTTGACAGCTCACTTAACTTGATCCAAGGAGTGAAATTGCTGACATCTTGAGGCACCCAGCGTCCCAAGACATCAAGCCCAAGATCATCAAAGTTCCGAATGTCAGGGTCAGTCAACACGGGGCGCGCTTTCAACTTGCTCAATGCGTCTGAGAGACGGCGAGTGAGTAAGGTCTTGGATATTTGTAGTGTGCTTATATATAGCTTCAGCGCCTTTGGGATGTTCTCCCCTGATGTATCGTCAAGGCCTAGTTGACTTTCAATCACCTCCTCCCGCACCCTGTGAAAGTGGCGGATGGCATCGTCGGAGGAAGAGCTGGTGGCGAGACAATATGATGCCAGGACCTCGATAATATCTTCTACTGTTGATGATGCCGAGGCGAGGTATTTGTTGACTCTTCTCAAGAGCGTTTGCCTGAGGGAGGCTATTTGGTTTCGCAGACTCTCGAGGAACGGCGGCACCGTCTTCTGCTGTGATAAAGCTTTGTGTAAAAGACGCGATATAACAACAAGCTTTGCGCCGAGCAATAAGGAACCACGTCTCCTCAGAAGCCGAGAGATGGCCGTCTCGCAGCGGTGAAGTAGAGCGAGCTGGGCGCCCACTGCTCGTCTAGCAGCGTCTAAAGCCTGATCAGTCGCCGAACATGTTGACGTGCAAGGCTGCGAGCGTTATACCTTTATCGTGCGCGTCACCCTTTATCTGGTTGAAGTGTGTATATTTCTTTTCCATCAATCGGGGGTTGCACCGTCGCCCAATGTCGGCCAGTGTCGCATCCACCTCCTGCATCTCCTGGTTCATAGACACGATCGTTTCGGCGGTCCCCACGAGCTCGCGATATCTCGTTCTAAATGCGCAATTCAAGTATTAGCCATCTAAATTAACTCGTTCGATTGTAGTGAGGTATACCCAACTAGAGCCCGGAGCTTCTCCTTATTGCTCGCGATGTCCCGCCGGAGCTCCTGTTCCACACGGCGCACAGTAGGAATTGGGTATTGAAACGCATCTTGCCATGATTTCAGGCTCTGGGGGTCCGGACCGTCCATTGCCATAATTAGCCAACGGGGTTGCAAGTGGTTAAAGGGAAAAGGCCAACCGGGCGGAGTAGATGGTTGCAATGTTGCTACGGAGTCAGCAATGATAACCGCATTAATGCCTGAGGCAGTAGATAGCAGCGGAAGTGTATTGTCAAATGCCGTATTACCCCATCTCTTCTCCCATAAACGGTTCCAGTTTCCGGGAGACTTTGCGGGGCCTTGGAGCGGAGTGGAACTCGAGCAAGTCATTGAAGTTTTTGATTACACAATGTATTGTTTGGGAAGATTTGTATATTTAGGTTTAGAAGTACCTTGAATCGCCAATTAAACCGCAATCAGAGAGTAACCAACACCCATACTGTTTGTTTTGATACATAGAATCTGGGTATGATATGAAGTTCCCATCAACGCCCGGTTAGCTCAGTCGGTAGAGCGTGAGACTTTTAAGTCTGATAATCTCAATGTCAGGGGTTCGAGCCCCCTATCGGGCGGGATTTCTTTTTTTTCACAATCCATCTCTACTCTTGTACTGCGGCCAAACAGCAGACTGTTTTGTCAAAACCACCGGTCTAACCTGCTGCATGGGAAGAGTTGGGGAATCAAATGTTTATTTATTTATGTACTCTTTTCTCCGGTCACTTGGTTCAATATTTTACTATTCTATATGTTCATGTGTATTAGTGGTAAGATGATCGGAAATATACACTCAGAGACATGCCTCCTATACCCCAGGGCGTAACTAGATTTGTTGCTAAGGGACCTAGGGCACTATCTTGAACAGGAACATAGAACTCCAGTTTTTTCCGCAGGATAGTAAGAAGACAAGAATAATACCAATGATGCTGACGAAATTGAACTAGTCATGGCAACACTGGGCCTTTGATTGTCTCCCTAGATTCATTCATCAATTATATCCACTGTGCCCATCTCCAACGCTGGCTGTGCATACCGTGTAGCATGTGTATATCCTTGTCCATTGTCAATCTGAGCGGTGTCGAAGCTTTGCTTCCAAACGTAAGCTGTCAAATCTAATTGTGGATCTTTATTCTGGTGTTGTTGAATTCAAATTTATAGATACTACCCTGCAAAACTATCTGGTTGCGCACAAGGTCTAAATTCAATCGCCGGAATGAAAATACTTGTTATCATACGGGACCTAGCCGATGCTCTGTCATAAATTGAACTTTGTAGACAAACCATGAATCATTCCACTCTCACCCACCCAGATACATTTGCATGGATACATGATCAGGGCTATGTACAGTACCTTGTTTGGGTTGGTAATTGCAGATAAGTAATCCAAAATAAATAACAGCCCGGTTAGCTCAGTCGGTAGAGCGTGAGACTTTTAGTGAGAAATCACAAGTCCGCAATCTCAATGTCAGGGGTTCGAGCCCCCTATCGGGCGATTTATTTTTTTCTCCATACCACTTCCGCTGTACATACGAAACATAACTACAAGCTCTATTTGTCCTACTAGTAGACAGACAATCTACTAATGTTAGGGGGATATTTTGTGTAAAGTTGGTTGGTACTCTATAGACGCTGGTTAGGCTCCAAGTTAGTGTTATCCCATGATACTATTATGGACTGGGCTGTTGTTTGTCTCATCTTATACATCCGATTGCTGGGTCAAAGAATATAAAAGGGTCTGTGTGACCAATGATTGTCAGTCAGAATCAGTGGTGCAACGATATAAATTCAACCAAGTTGGTATACCAAGAGCCATTGCTAGCGTTCATACCATACACACCAGCTGTGATTTGGCCAGGAGCAGAGGCCATGGCTTGCAGTAACCTGATGAAAGAAACCTATCAAGTTCATCAGTTCTCTTGCGGGCAACTGCCTTTGAAGAAAACAAAGCGGTGTTTTAGATCGACAACTTACATGACAATACAAACAATTCCAGTCATCAGTGAGTCATACGATACCGGTGACCCACCATATATGTATTCATTACAAAGCCCTCCCCGCAGGTCTCGATTCTGCCCCTCACCAGAAAAAATAAAAAATAATTGTCTTGAACTTTGACCAGTACCTTACATATCTATCACTTCCATACAACCCTTGAGACAAATCATGCCTCACTCAGAGACGGAGGCGCCGCCTCAGGCGGAGGCTCCAACAACTCAGTTGGAGACCTTGCCCTTTCCTCCGGTTACTTATTCCCACATCCTGAACTGTTCTTATCATTCCTGGCAGCCTCGGTGCGTATGACTCTTGCTACCTTGCACAATATTGGTATACTAATATTACATCATTAGCTATCGCACGCATACACCCAAATCGCGAACCATCTCTTTGACACCACAGTTTGTCTCCTACCTGCGCGCCGATGGAATCGTCCTGCCGTCCGAGAATGCGAGATCCACAGACGACGACAACCTGAACGACTATTCCGACGATGAGGCGGACGAACAGCAAGACCCTTCAGTAGAATGGGAGGAGATCCATGCACAAGTCAAGTCTGCAATCTCTAGTCTCGGGAAGGTTACGCCGAAGCTGAACTGGAGCGCACCTAAAGACGCAACCTGGATGGCCGCAACCAACGACCTCCAGTGCTCTACACCGAACGACATCTACCTTCTCCTCAAGAGCAGCGACTTTGTCACGCATGATTTGGAGATGCCATTCGACGACTGTGTCCCAGACACACCCGAGTCCACAACCCCACCAGAAGTCCCCTACAAACTCGTCCTCCGCAAATACGTCAACTTCAACCCGTCGCTCGAGTTCCGGTGCTTCGTGCGCAATCGCGTCCTACTCTGTGCCTGTCAGCGTGACCAGAACCATTTCGACTTCCTCTTCGATTTGCGCGATACCCTCCGCTCCCGCATCCAGGCCTTCTTCGACGAGCACCTGAAGGATACCTTCCCCGATCCGAACTTTGTGTTTGATGTTTACGTCCCGCCTCCGCACCAGCGGGTCTGGCTCATCGACGTCAATCCGTGGGCTGTGAGGACAGATCCTCTGTTGTTCAGCTGGTTGGAGATCCTGCAGATGAAAGACCCCATCGGTGTTCAAGAAGATGAAGGCGCCGAGCAGTTTGTCCGACTATCGCTCAGCGGAAACACCGTCACTGGTGTGGAACCTGGACCGGCCGAGGGCTCCGAATCGTCCGATACCGAGGATGAGGAGGACGAAGATATCGACGACGACTCCTCCCCGTTCCTCCCTGAGTTCCGTCTCGTGAAACACGATGATCCCGAAGCCTACGCCTTCACGACTCCCCAGTATTCGGCACACAAGCTACCCAAGGAAGTGGTCGATGCTTCGGTCACCGGACCCGGTGGTATGAGCGAATTTCTCGGGAAATGGCAGGATATTCTAGCCAAGCAGGCCGAGGAGTCAGATACCGACAGCGAAGGCGCGCAGTGATATGTATTTTTGGTTTTTCAATCTTTAATTCCAGAGCGGAGTAATTGCGGGGCTAGAGGCGTTAGAATCCAGGGTATGGCCAACCAAATTTGATATCATTAAGCTTCAAGCAATACAATGTATACCACATCCTAGTTTCTATTTGTATTCTATTACTCACAATCACGGCAGAATACCAAGAGCGTCACAGAAATTCCCTGAAAATAAATTTAAAAAAGAAAGAAGAAAGAAGAAAGAAAACTACAATTTATGCTTCTTCTCCCCAGAAGCCACACGTCTAAACTCCTCCTGCGGCTTCCCACTAAGAAACCTCTCCAAGCCCGCAAAAGCCTCCAACTGGCTCTGACGATCCAGCACCTCCCTCTCCGGCCTACGAATCAACTCCTTAATCTTCAACAAACTCGACTGGCTCAGATGCTCCCCAAGCCTCTCCTTCACTTCCTCCAGCACCCTCCCCAGGAACCCCGCGGAGTCGTCCGTCCGCCCGGACGGCGCAGAAATCACCTTGTTCACGAACCCGGCCCCGACAAGCTCGTCGCAGGTGATCCGCTTGCTCATGATAAGCGCCTCGTTCGCCTTGGCGATGCCGAGACGCTCGACGAACGCGCGCGACGACCCGCCCTCCGCGACGAGGCCCAGCGACGAGAACGGCGTCAGCAGGAACGTGTGCGGCGCGGCGTAGATGAAGTCCGACATTGCGATCAGGGCCGCCGAGAGCCCGATTGCGGGGCCGTTGAGCGCGGCGACGAGGATCTTGGAGTGGTGTGCGAAGGTGTTGGTGATGTCGAGGTTGTTTACTAGGAAGGAGCGTGTTAGGGATTGACGGGCGCCGTTGAAGATGCCGTCTGCTCGGTTCGCTTTTACGTCTGCGCCGCTGTGGTTTGCTTAGTTTTTTTCTCTCTTTCTTTCTTTCTTTCGCACACACTCTCTTCCTTTGTTCATGTTTAAATGCTTGAAATGGAAAAAGGCGGTCTTACGCTGAGAAGAATCGCCCCGTCCCTGTTATCACGGTGATGGTTATATCCTCTCGTTTGTCGACTTCGCGCAGTCGCTCGCCTAGCTCGTAGTATAGCTCAGGCGCGAGAGCGTTCAGCTTCTCAGGCTGATTGAGCGTGATGATCGCGATTCGGTCTTGATATGTGAGTGTAATTGGTTCGGCCATTTTTGTCAATTGTTACAATCTTTTTTTTTTATCTCCAAATAAGCAAGTATAGAATAGAATAAGTATATAGTAAACTAGAATAAAAGATTAAAAAGGCACAGATCAATGAATTGAATCTAAGTTAAGATCCACCAACGGGGTAGATCAGACACTAATAAGTATTTAACTAAACTATACCCCAAGACACTGGAGAGGGGAAAGACTATCCAACAGGGATTCCCCAATCTGCATTGGGTTCATGCGGGGGAACGACGCCGACGGGCCGAGATCCAGCCGAGGCTTATTTCTTCCTACTGTATTATACCCAGTAGTACTGTACAGGGTATCAGGTGATAAGATCAGGTGACACGAGGAAAGTTTGCACTGTTTGCAATGAGAAAGCAATCGGCATGTCGGAAACTCCGTGATTTATTATCGTACGTTTCTCATTAGTGGGATTTCTAGATCAATACCATCTTATTGTGTTTTTGTGGACGAGAGTTTTCCATAATTGAAGACAAATCACAATGTCCATCCCGAATTATATCCGGAGTAGACTTCAGGGGGGGAATTTGGAGGTTTTTAAAGTATGTTTTTCTTTTCTTTGCCTCACAATATGCATACTGTCTTGGAGACCAAGTTCCCATGTTATACATCTTGATGTATGCTGTTGCTGACTAGCCAGTTCGGAATGTATGTCCTCTTCCCTATCGGATGGATGTATTACTTCGGGACGAACCTCGACGACCGATTCAGTGTTCCGGGCTTCTGGCCCACGACGGAACAGTCGCATAAGATTCCGCTGGATAGAGATGAAATCGATAAGGAGTTGACGCGGATGCGGACCGTTGATGCTGTGAGGCGGGAGCGTCGACTGCAAGCTGCGCAGGCTAGGGAGATTGAGTCTCAGCAGGATACGGATTGAGTTACAGCGTATGTGGGACGTCGGGCTGGGGGGGATACATTCGAGGGTTAAGGAAGGGCACAAATTACAGGAATTTTGTGTTGTGGTTGGTTTGGCATGTGACTGTTGCACATGTATTACTCTTTTATGATTTGTATAACACTCTTCTCTGGGCATGTTGGAGTTTATTTTATTTTTTAATATCTTTGGTTCTAAATGGGTGTCTTGTTCGATTCATGTATACTGTTCTTTCATTGGACTTCTTTATTCTTCACTTCATCATTCCACGGGGTTGGAGGTGTATGTACTGGGTGAACTATATAAGGTCGCTTATTATGGCAAACCGCTAGCTTTTGATATTGGTACAGAGGATACCGTTTGTCACGGCAATATGATTCAGAAGAAGCATAACATCGCTGTCAAGGGTATCTCGTAACAATGATCCCTCAACGCATGAGGCATCGATACCGTTAGGGCCCAACAGCAGAGAGCGAAGAGAAACAGAAACTCCTATGCGCCGGCCTGCTCAGGAACATTATCGCTCAAACTCCAAAGGAACAACTTCCTAACGCCAACAAAGAATGATTGCGCCTGGGCATCGCAGAAAAACTGTTATGTGGAGACTTCCATCCATGTTTTTCCGGGGGCGCGGACGTAAGCAGGTGGTGCAAAAGAAAATTATTAGCGGCATGCTGACAAGAATATCAGATCGCACGAAAGCAATGGGGCCGAAGGGTATTTTACGTTCGATGGACACAGAAACCAGGTAGTCGAATCCAGTCGCGGCCCTAGTAGAGTGACAGGAAGGGGATCGTATGAGAATATAGGGGTCGCCATCATGGCTCGCCCAACGATACGATCATAATTCGCGGATGGTGTCAGTAGCGGCTGCTGCGGTATTTTTGGCCGATTCGTACATGACCTCTAACGTCTGGGAACCGGTCTCTCGAAAGACTGAACTAATTGACGGCAGCGCCGATGCCAT